GGGGGGAGGTCTGGGGGGCGGGGTGCATCCTGGGTTCCCTTGCATCCTCCCTGTGTGAAGAGTCTGTGGGGTGTGTCCTGGGTCCCCTCACCCCCAATGGGGAGGGTCCATGAGACTTTGCGGGGGGTCCATGGGGTCCCCTCTCACCCAGCCCCGTTGCAGAAGGACGAGGTGTACCTGAACCTGGTGCTGGACTTCGTGCCCGAGACGGTGTACCGCGTGGCACGCCACTTCACCAAGGCCAAGCAGCCCATCCCCGTCATCTATGTCAAGGTGAGCCAGGAGCCAGCCACGCAGAGGTGGGGGGCTGTGGCAGGCGCCCCCGGGCTGGCTGTGACCATCTCCCCCTTCCTGCCAGGTGTACATGTACCAGCTCTTCCGCAGCCTGGCCTACATCCATTCCCAGGGGGTCTGTCACCGCGACATCAAACCCCAGAACCTGCTGGTGGACCCCGACACCGCCGTGCTCAAGCTGTGCGACTTCGGCAGGTGGGAGCTGGGGCCCCCTGGTGCGAGAGCCGTGCAGAGGGAGGGCCCCCTGGTGCGAGAGCCGTGCAGAGGGGGAAGGGGTGGGCTCGTGGGACAGTCTCTCCCTGAGCAGCACGGGCCTTCATGTGACTGGCGAGACGTACGGGGAGGGGTGTCCGCCAGGCAGAGCGCTCGGGCAGCGGGTGAAATGGTTGGCCCCACACATGGACCGAGGGCCTACACGGGGTCTGACCCAGCCACAGCGCACCCGTCTGGCCAAGGGGCAGGGGGTCTGGACTGGCGCAGGGGGCAGGGCTGGCCCACTCACCATGGGCGGTTGGTCTTGCAGTGCCAAGCAGCTGGTGCAGGGCGAGCCCAACGTCTCCTACATCTGCTCCCGCTATTACCGCGCCCCTGAGCTCATCTTCGGGGCCACCGACTACACATCCAACATAGGTGAGCTCCCACCCCGTCCGTCACCTCTGCCCCCACGCACAGCGAGGGGGAGGGAACCCAGGAGTCCTGACCGCCCCCTGTCCCTCCCCAGATATCTGGTCAGCGGGCTGCGTCCTGGCTGAGCTGCTGCTGGGTCAGCCCATCTTCCCTGGGGACAGCGGAGTGGACCAGCTGGTGGAAATCATCAAGGTAGGAGATGCCCACCCCTGCTCTAACCCACGAGACCCCACCCCCTTCCCAGAGCCAGAGAACACCCAGGAGTCCTGGCTCCCAGCCCCGCCTGCTCTAACCCATGAGACCCCACCCCCCTCCCAGAGCCAGAGAGAACCCAGGAGTCCTGGCTCCCAGCCCCCCCTGCTCTAACCCATGAGACCCCACCCCCCTCCCAGAGCCAGAGAGAACCCAGGAGTCCTGGCTCCCAGTCCCCCCTGCTCTAACCCACGAGACCCCACCCCCTTCCCAGAGCCAGAGAGAACCCAGAAGTCCTGGCTCCCAGCCCTCCTGCTCTGACCACTAGACCCCATTCCC